TGTTGACCAATAATAAATAGAAGAAAAGCACACACTGGGCGCCCCTAGGAAGAGAAACAAGCCACTCGAACAATAAGAGTGCCAATGTATTAATATTCTATTAAGGCTCCAAATATTGATTAATAATTGCAATTCCAGCATCTTTAGCCAAATAGTCACAGATGAAAGTATATAAAATTTAATAGATACCAGGATATTAGTAATGCAGATAACATGATTGCAACTAAGGTGAATAGCAGTGTTATAACATGATCAAACATCCCTGGCTGGGAGACTTGCACTGTGCTGGTGTGATCCTATCCTAGTTCTGCTCTAAAGTCAGCTTTTATAAGATAAGACTGCTTTATCCATGCACAATTACTTAGAATTGTTATCCAAAAATCATTTCTCTGAAAAACCACAAGCCAAATATTATCAAGGACCTGATAGCATCGTCATGGATAGCATCGGACACCAGGCGGGATGGAGCAAGGTCAGGTCAGTCACCGCAGGAACCATAACTCAGGTACTTGCTCCGTAAAGCAAGGAATTCAATCTCTGACCTGTTATACTGGATTGCTTATGGATAGACATGAAGGAGCCTAAAGGAATTGTCAGACTGCATTTTTAAAAACTATTTTTTCATGCTATGTTGTTTTGTCAATTTTGATTTCTCAGTTTCTGTGATTTCCATGTTTAGACCAGACTTAGCACGGCAGAAGTCTGTTTATTTGGTGTAAAAACAATTATTCTAATAACAACACAAAAAGATCAATGAGAACATTGTATTTTTTTTTGGATGTTGACCAAGGCTACTTGGCTTTGAAGTGTGTGTGTGTGTGAAGAGAGGAAGCCTGGCTATCTTTCCTTTGCAAGGCAGCCCCACTTCTCACGCCTTGCAGCCTTCCTGTCAGTGCTGAGGGCTGATTTACAGAGCCAGTGGGTGAAGATGATTGCCCTCCAATGTGAGTTCCTAATTTTACCGACCATAAAAGCACCAGATTTAATTGCACACATTTTTTTCTTTCCTCTGCAGGAAAGAAAATTCACTTGTGTGCTCATTGCTAGAGCTTTTTGAACCATCTGTGCAAGTATGCAAAAGGCTCTTTAGTGGAGTGCAGGCTTAGGGAGATAAGCCCTCTCCTCATCTTGTCAGGAGGTACCTCCCACCATCTTAGTGAAAGCAGGGGGAAAAGGATGAAAGCACATCCCTGAGAGCGTTCTCTGCCCAGCAGCAGCTGGTCCAGAGCCCTTGACTTCCTTGCACGGAGAATTCCCTCTCTGTTGAACAAACAGGGTGCACCTAGTCTCATGCAAACACAAAGGGGTCGGAGCACACAGCTCCCACTCGAGAAGGAGCAGCAGCCCCTGTTGCCTATTTCGCATCTGCAAACCCCAGAAACGGTACAGAATGGAGGAGCAGACCGAGAAAGCAGGGTTACCACAGATAGCTGTGGCTAAGACGGTATTTTCTTGCTGAGCCTTCTTGCTTATTATAACACCAATGAGCTAACAGGCTTGACACTGATGAAATTATAGGCTGACTGTACTGTAATGCCATTGAAAGACCACTAAAGCTTCAAAAGGAGCCTACCAGGTAAATGCTGATCTGGTTACTTCCAGCTCCTTTGGGCAGTAGGTGCGTTTGGTTGGTCAAACAAAAGCCCTTTGAGGCTGTCAGCAGTCGGGACAGTTAGCTCGCTAAGGGCAGGCTCTGTGGGTGTTGCCATCACACAGGTTATCGCGTTTATATTTTAATGTAGTGATTTTATATGAAATCAACTTCCAAACTTGTATATGATGTGTGATATTTATAGCTTTATTCTTGCATGCTCTTCGTCTTTGTAAAACCAAATTTTATTAGCTATAGTTTCAGATTACAGTCAAGAACATAAATATTATTTGGGTCTACACTTTCAGTCATGATAACAAGTTTTCTGCTCTTGCTGTAATTTTGTCTGCTACCATTTTTTCCCATTTTTAAAAATCTATTTATTATTTACCTCTCTAGGCTTGTAACATTTCTTTATTTTGTCCTATGTATATCTCTTCTGAGTAACTTCAGGCTCTTTTGATACAGAAATTTTTATGACTGACTGGATCCTCAGGAGTTACTTGATACCTGAATCCAAGTATTAATGAAATAATGCCACCAATAGTACATTATTTCCACAAGGTCCATTGTTGCTGTTGATTATTGATAGGACATAATTATTGCATTTTCTCATATTCACGTTTAAGTCATTTAGGATGTATAGATGCCATAATATCGTTACATAATCAGGAAAACTAAATAAATTACAAGCTGTTGGCCAAGAAATCTTTTGCTTGGTTTAACTTAGTTGTTTCTAACTCTTTAAGTTTTAGTTGCTGTGTGCAGCAAATATTTTTACCTGTTACATCACTTATTAAATTAAAAGGCAAATTAATTTAAAGGCTCTGACTGCTCCTGATTGTCAGCACTTTGGATGCTTATTAAGTGGTTTAAAGTATATTTAATTAAAGATATTTCTTCACATCCAATAGTCAGTGAAATATTTAGCATTTGTGTCTTCTTAAATATTTAAGTATTATCACTTTTTCTGTAGTTCAAGAGTTTTACAAGCTTTATTGTGCTTTCCCCTTCTCCAGCACTTTTGGGTAAGTTAAACTGTTATCCCCTGCCTTCACTTCTCTCACAATTCTTTGGCTGTAACTACTGGGGAGGGGAGGGAGATGTAAGTGGTGAAAAAAGCCCCCACATAATTTCTTCGAGGGTTCTTGGAGAAGATAGCATGCAGCAAGGTGAGACTGTATCAGCCCCACTGTAAATCTGGAGGGAAAATCCTGGTGTTTGTAGATATTTTTCACTTTTTTATAGAACTATTTACTTAGGAATAGAAAGAAGACAGGCCTGACGTGTTTAAAAAAGTATGGTGAGTTCTCTCTCCTTGCTTTTGAAGGTAATTACAAAATAATGGGATATGCTGAGTGTGGTCGGGACAGACGGATTTGGAGTTCCTTCCCGAAACAGGGCAGCCTTTTCTACATTTAGTAAAAAGAATTTGGTGGTTGATGCTTAAAGAAGTGAAAGCAGAACTGCAAATTTCTGCAGCTGATATCTGTGGAAATCAATTAACCTCCTGGGGTTTACTTGCTTGTTTAGTAAGGTCACCTGGGCTTCCTGTTCCATCAACCGAAACCACATCTACCCCAGGCCTGGGACAAGGGGTAGCTGACTGAGGATTCTGACAGTTACAGGGTAAGGATCCACACAGTTGTCACTGTGTTTTCAGGGTGCAACACAGAGGCAGGAAGGACAACGTTTGGATGTATTTGTTCCCCTGCACTCAGCTGAGCCCGTCAGCTGCTGTAGCGCCTCTGGGAGCGCGTGTGAGAGAAAGGGCAGGCAGAGAAGGGAAAAAAGGAGAATTGAGAAACAGCAGAGGAAGCACCAAGGTCAGACAAAGAGGAACACATACTGCTGAGCCCACGAAGGACCCACCCTGGAGCAGAAGAGAAGCGTGAGAGGGTGGGCACAGCCGAGGCCTGTCCTGTGCCCACCGAAACCCCCTCCTGTGCCCGTCCTTACCTTGCTGGAGGAAAAAGAGCACAACTTGCAGCCATAACAAGGGTGAGGAGGAGCCTGGAGTGACATTGTGCCAGGAAAAGGGGAGAGAAAAGGCATATTTTAATGTTTACCTTCTTGCTTCCCAACACCTGAATCAGTAATTAAATACCTGTATCAACTGACCATAAATTAATTTCCCCAAATCAAGTCTGTTTTGCCCATGAAGGTAACGGGTAAGTGATCTCCATGTCTTTACCTTGACACATGAGCTCTTTTGTGGCTTGTAGGTTTGGTTGTTTTTTTTTTTCTTCTATTTCCTCCTCCCATTTAACAAGATAATGGGGGACCGAGTGAGCTGCTGAGTGAAAGCGTGGCTACCAGGCAGAGCCAACCCAGCACAGAAGTCCAGCAAAACACAAGTTGGTTGTAAGCTTTAGGCTTAAAACCAAACCAAAACAACAACCGAAAGAGGTAAAGGAATGTAGGCTGTTAAGTTTCTGTGTTCACTTTGCACCTTGACATGGGTAGTCTGCGTTTCCTCTTGATACCTGTGTGCTGAAATTCACATCAGAAACTTGGGAGACTTTCCATTTCAAGTCAGCTTAGTACTTTGCACATCTACAAAACAACAGCTTCTATGAGATTGATTACACAGTTCTGTGAGGAAGAAAGGCTGCTTGATCTTTTGCGAAGTCAGCGAGACCTTGAGCTGCTCGGGCTTTGCGCAGCAGTGTGTATGTTTCCACCAGCTCACTGTAAAGATAACGCATTTTAATCTGCACCTCTTATCCAGGTTAATAAACACAGAGTAAGGTATAACACTATCACAAGCGAACAACTTTCATGCATCTGCCTATATCCTTTTCTTGTTAAATAGAAGGTATATCATTCTTAAATCTCGTCAATATTAGTTTAATTCTTACTTTAAAAATCCTTACTGTGTGAAAACCTAGCCCTTCTTTCCTCAACTCCTTTACTGTCTTGCCTGAAGGCGTATGTACGTACTTACAACACAAGCTTCAGAAGCTAATACAAAACACTCTACAAAAGACAGAGTTGTAAAGGGTGTTGGAAGAGGTTACAAAAGAAACAAAACCAGGCAAAATAGAAGTATTCTTAAAATAAAAAGCAGCATTTATTACAAGATTATAATACATGCCAAAATAAAAGCGTCCTTTAAAACGCCGAGTATGTTTCTGGATTGTATTTACAAGTTTTTGCTCCCATTTTAAAACTATAATGTTTTTGTACTTTCTTACATTATTTTAAAATATTTATCTTTAATGTAATTCAAGAACAGACACTTACAACATGGAAAAGGGAACCCTGCCTTGAAATTAAGCCGCTCCAGCTCAAACCAAGAGCAGAGAATGCGTTAGGGTTGAAAATACTCCCTACTTAAAATAAAAAGGTAAAACATTGTAAAAATAAGAACAGAGCACCTAAAAGCTAACATGGCAAATCTTCGTTTCTATAATATTACATCAAAGTTACAGAATAGACCCCAGTGATCACTAGGGAATCTGCCACACTCTAGTTTTTCCAATCCAATTAAGTCCATACTTCGTGGAATAATATGTCCCCCATCTGCTGCAGGCCGAAAGTAAATGCGATCGAACCTCATCTTGCACTTGTACCCCGCATCCAGGTTGGTATTGGAGTGGGTGTCCCAGGTATAGCGGCAGTGTTGAGGCTTACCCAGAAACTCCCAAATATCCGTGATGTTGTCAGGTAACTTACCTAGTTTAGTAACCTGAAAGCAGAAGGGACGGTCAAAAAAATACACAAGATACTGAATTCACAAGGTTTACCTTCAAAACCAGTACTGAGTTTTCACAATACTACTTTTTTTCTGCAAAACCCAAGTTGTTAAAAACAAAGATATCAGAGACATTTTTATATTGGCACTCTAAGGTATGACTAATCCCTGTAGTACTTTCTAAATCAAAAACACGTTACGTTACAAAATAAATGTTCAGCTCCGAAATTCTGAGGTACAGTGGCCAACACTGTGTTCTCTGAAACAACATCGTTCCAGTTCATGGCAATGGAATTTCACAACAGGGAAAGATGAAACACTGACCTCTTAGTAATAATGCACAAATTTCACTTTTAATAGCAGCAGCCTAAAGTGACTTCTAATTCTGAATGTCTCAGTGATGAGGGATTAATTTTAAGCTCCCAAGATCTATTTTTCCAGAGCACCCTCTTCTTTCCCTAATGCTACAAGCATCAACTCGCTTGAGAATTGGAGAGAGAAACAAGTAAAGGCCAGGTTCTCAAAATGAGAAGGTGCTTTTGGAAGTCAAAACCTTCATTGATTATCCCTGCACCTTCTCAGATGTAGATATTGCCAATTAAGCACTTTGTTATTGGGGGTGGTGGGAGAGGGAGCTCTTCATATACATCACCTCAGCTATAAGAGGGCCTTTATGGGGGCCGGTTAGCTCAGTGGTTTGAGCGCAGTGCTGGCAACAAGGACCAACACCGAGGTAGCGGGTTCAATTCCCGCTCGGTCCCCATGTGTTGCCAGGTCTAGTCGAGAGGTGGCGTCCCTGCCCATGACAGGGAGGTTGGACTAGATGATCTCTAAGGTCCCTTCCAGCCTAGGCCATTCTATGATTCTATGATTCTATGATTTATGCAAAAACGCTGCTCCTTCTGCTTAAGTCGCACTTCCACATTTTCAGGATAAACACTGACCATATCTTCTCTGCCTAAGCAGGTTATTCCTCATAAAGACAACAGAGAAGACTAAAAACCTTTTGTCAGAATACTTTCTCAAAATAACACGGTTGCCTATTTCCATTTACCTCACTGTCTCTGAGGTTTGTATCCCCTCCAAATATAACAGTGGCAGACTTGGACTCCTCCTGCATTTTGTTTAACACTATTTGCAGTTGTTTTATACGCTCCGTAGAGTGATTTTTAGTGCTCTCCAGATGAGAGGTCATAAGGCAAAGTTCATTACCAGATACGCTCACCTGTGCGTGAAACAAAGAGACAATGTGACTTTCCACACCATGGTAAGAAGTTCAAAGGCAAAAATCTAATCACAAAGTGAATTACTGAATGACAGAGCTCTGGTTAATGTTAGTTTTACACTGAAGTGGCTTACAGAAGGATAACAGGGTTTTAGTGTTGTTTTCAGAGGTTATGAGACTTGAAAACAAAGCACAGTCAGGAATTTACAGAAAAGATTTAAGCTCGTTGACATTAAATGCAACAGGGCTTATATGTAAAGCCAGTCCAGCCTTTCCTGGGATTCTGTGTTTAGAAGCCAGAAATACAGCTGTTTAGTACATACTGACTCACATGCACAACCAAAAGGTTCCTCATCATGGAAGTTGTTGGAAAAGGTATTATTTCATGTTTCTGTAGCTTCACTCTTGATTTCTTCAACATTATGACAGTGAAATAGCCATCTACATTACCTGAAGAGGAACAGGGAAATAAATGGTTGAGGATATCTTCTACCGTGTTATAAAGAAGTTAAAGTTTTGAAAGAGACCTTTTTACCATGATCTGTGAGAATCACATTAATTTGTAGTATCTATAAAGTCATTAGATAAACATTTCATAATGCAAATGTTTAAGAAATTATTTATCTATCACACTTTGTTGGCTATCTTTGCTACCAGTCTTACAAAACGCAGAAAAAATACAAAGGTAGGCAAGCTTTTTACATGCATGATTTGACTCAAATCACACCCCTGGTATCAAGACAGAAAGTAATTGAAACGCTTCCTTCTTCACCTTACTCTTTCCATTCCTGCACATGGTCAGAGATTGTAGCAAGGAAGACAGAATAAAACTAAACTTACTTCTCCCGGTTTATGTCTTTAGAAATTGCGGGTTATTTCTTACTTGGAATAACAGTGTAATTGCCTGCTCTCATCTGCAGAAGACAGAGATATGGTGGGATGACCTCTTGTAAAAACACGACATCTGGACTGTATCTGAAATCAGCAAGACACATACTCAGATTAACTGTTGAAAGCCAAATGGAACAGATTCAGGGATTTCAGGTGCATTTTGTCCTTGTCTTCCTAAATACTATAAGAATCTGTTGGGCAGGTTTTTTTATTAAAAACTAAACTCTCTCCATCATATTTAGCAGCATGTAGACATACCACCGTTGTTAAAAGGGAGGAGACAATGATTGTTATGGACATGGAACTGGCATTGTAATGAAACATGACCTATACTTTGATCTTGCAAACACATGCACAGGTTTCATACACTACCAATATGACAAATTCAACTTAAGCAGCTGCAAAGCATCTTTGGAACACATCCTGCAACATCTAAGTTCTCCAGGATCTTCCAACCCACCTCACTCCCTTCCAACAGACATCCCTCAGGTAACTTGTCATTTTCTCTAGTCTCATGGATGCCAAGCTCTTTTATTTCTTAGAGCTGTGCAATCCGTAACATTTCATGTGGGGCAGCGGTCCTGAAAATGCTAATTCAGACAAAACTTTACAGCTGTCCCTATTTTGGCTACACTGCTGAGCAGCCCTGCTCTAAGCAGGTGAAGGAAAAAGCTATGGCCTTATTCGCAGAAAAAAAATAGTCACCTCAGATTAACAAAATCAAGTGAAATTTGATTTAGTTAAAGGGTTTCTGCTGTTTTAACTTAAATTATCACTTGTTTAAATCATTTCATTTACACTGATAAGTTACTGTCTTAAGATAAATTCATTTATGTAATTGTTAAATTGCTCATAAATATATTCACAGGAGCCATCCGCTGGTGGAACTACAAAAGGTAATCACAGATTCTGTTGTTTTTATCTTACCTTGCACATTTCTTTTTGATAGGCAAATAACAGCCACATTTCACTAAAAAAATAATTTTTGTTGTTTCAGCTTTCTCTAGCATGAAGTTACTCACACTAATGAAACTGGACAAGTTTCTTGCAGTTTTAGCCTTCTGCCACGTATACAATTGATGTGTGAAGTATACTCTTCATGTCTGACTAATACTTGAACAATATTGCTTATTATAAAAAAAGCTTTTTAAAGCAGCCACCACAAAATATTTAACCTTTGGGATGCTGCGTCACACCTCTTCCAACCACTGTATCAACTTCTCTTCAGCTATTTGGGATTTATAAAGTGACTGTACTGTTGCAGCTAACATTAAGATAATTTGGGCACGAAGATTTGTAAACACCTAAAATAAGAATCCCGCTCTCTCCTTTAAAGTTGTGTACAAGACAATACAAAGACGAAGCCATGCTTACAATGCCAGGTAAGAACAGATCCCTCTAGCTCGCTCTTTTAGATTTCTTAAATCCAGCCCATCAACGTTCCATGTTATCAGCGAGAACGTGCTGTCGTCTTCTTGTTGCCTCGAGTCTGCGCTCTCGATGGCGGCATCACTAGCAGTTGCATCTGCTGTGAGGTCAATACTGAAGAGAGAGAGTTTACCTGATGTCAACACGCGTACCGCTATTCCCCCTGCAGTCACCTCCCTTCCCTTTTCGGGAAAATGCTTTAGACCCATCACAACTGACAGGAGGCTGTCTAAAACTCTGCCAACAAATAAGAATCGCTCTCACTGTAATTTATGACCTCAGTCATACCGAGCCTTAGCACTCAGGGGAAGTTAAGTGGGTTTTTCTCCTCCTTGCAGACACAGGGTAACAGTTACGATTCTGTAATTCAGAGAGTGTCCAGCACAATGCAAAGCACCCGAGTAATTCAACTCCGGCAGCAGGGGGGCTGGATTAAAAATGACCTCTAAGGTCCCT